AGTGATATCAATGAAGTCATGTACGCTATAAAAACAATGGGTGAATACGTGTTTTCGCCGTTTTCGGTAAGTTTATACCCTCTTTTAAGTTTAAGGAGATTGAAGGCTTGAACCTACATTTATGTGAAATACTAGCTTTTACCCGCGGTTTCGCTTGCGTCACAAATGGATAAAAGTAACCTATGTGACATATACACACAGCGCCATCTATACCAATACTTTTGTTTTCCCTCGGGAATATCAAATTTTTCCGGGATAAAAAGTACCCTATTATTTAATCCGGACTTCTAACTTTACGTCTGCAAAAAATCAAATCAATCGGTTTAGTAGTTACGGCGTGAAAGCGGAACAAACAAACTAACTCACTTTCCGATTTATAATATTATATAGTAAGGATTTTTTAACTTCTAAAAAGATATTTTTGTTTTATATATCAGTCTTTGAGAACGAAGGACATCTTTAAAAGCCTTTACTTACACGTAATTACCTCTTGTCTGTCAATGTAAATAAATAGGTAATAACGATGCAATGGAATACACATTGTATCTCGCGTAGCTCTACGTTCCGACACTTCACAGGTTAAACATATTAAAGTCATCTCGTCGAGACTAAAGATGGCGCTTGCTCGTAATTATAAAATACTAGCTTCTGCCCGCGACTTCGTACGCGTAATGTCATTTTTTCCCGTCCCCGTTCGTGATTTTCGGTAAAAAGTAAAAAAAAAATGTTAGTTAAAAAGTATCCTATGTCGGTCTCCTGGCTCTAAGCTACCTCCCTACCAATTTTCAGCCAAATCTATTCTGCCGTTCTTGAGTTATAAGTGGTGTAACTAACACGACTTTCTTTTATATATATAGATTTGCTAACAAACTGCCTCGTTGGCCAAGTGGTCGCAAGTGCGACTCGGGTCTCGGGTTCGATTCCCGGGTCGGGCAAAGTGTTTATGGGTTTTTAAAAAAATCTCAGTAGTAGCACGGAGTCTGGAAATGAGCCCGGTATATGCAATAGGCTCACCCCCTATTACATGGGACTCATCACATAAACAGTGAAAAGTGCTTACTTCTGTGTGCACCTCTGCCTACCCCTACGGGGATAATAGGCGTTGTGTTATTTGCTAACAAACTAAATGGGTAGAACGTCTGTATAATTTCGTCGCCTGTGATCACACTGCCGCCTATCTTACTCACTATATTTACTGACAATAAGTGTGGGACAGCCATGCTTCGGCACGAATGGCCCGGCTAGACGGAGTGATACCACGGCCGAGCAGAAAACCGATGTGAAACAACGCTTGCGTTGTGTTTTGCCGTGTGAGTGAGGTTACCGGAGGTCCAATTTCCCTCCCTTTCCCCAATCGCCTCAATCCCTGAATCGACAACAATCCTCAAACTCCTAATCCCCAAAAGGCCGGTAACGCATTTGTAACGCCTCTGGTGTTCCAGGTGTCCACGGGTGACGCCGATTGCTTACCATCAGGTGATCCGTCTGCTCGTTTACCGGCTTATGCCAAAGAAAAAGAATTTCCAAAGTTAAATATGCACTCAGACATTTTAACATGCAAAACAGCGTCAATGATGACACAACGATGACGTCATACTCACATACTTCAATCTTCTATGACCTTGCATCTGACATAGCTATAAATACTTATATACAATGTTTATTTATAATGATATAAAATGTATATAGTGAATCAGTTTATTTTAAACTTAACTTATGAAGAGAAACGATTTGATCGTTTGTTTGTGTTGAATATGCTTCGAAACTACTGGACCTATTTGGAAAATTGTTTCACTATTTAATAGTTTTTAGGGAAGTGATGTAACTCGTCTTGTGTTGCGAGTGTCCATGGGTGGCGCCGAATTCTTACCATCAGGTGATCCAACTGCTCGTTTGCCTCCTATTCCATAAAAAAGTAACTTAGTCTACTTTTTATCCCGATATTCGTATAGAAGCGCTGCCTAATCCAAATAATCTTTTTAAATTCCGGCGAGTAAAACCACTAGCGGAAAGCTATAGTATAATTTTGATTATAGTATAGTTTTATATGAATGGTAATCTGAGTATTTGTAAGTTGAAAAGTGAACTTCCTACCATGAAAACATCCTATGTATCATGAATGATAGTCCACTGATGAACTATGTGGCTCCTCTACATAAGATGAGGCCTTAGCACGAGTTTCTTTTTCGTTTAAAGTAATAGAAACGAGATGGCGTCCGGCGCTCTGATTGGTTGGTTCATTGGAGCCGGCCAATCACAGCGCAGAACGCGTACTCGTTACGATTACTTTAAACGAAAAAGAAACTCGTACTAAGGCCTATGCTTTGTCCTATTCTCCACGCTGTAAGTGGAGAGCACAGTTTAATAGTGAAACAAGTGAATTTATTTCTGCAAATAGGCTACAAGGCAGCACTTTTACACGTCAATTATATCAAGCGAACGATGAAGTCGACATTTCCTAACTGACTAATCTGAGAAGAAATGCCGAAACAAAGTCAGAGGATAAATAAGTTCAGGTTTATCAGAGAACGCTGCGGCCAGGTCTTTGTCAAACGTGTAGTCTCTTAGTCGAGTCTTACGACTCCCGGGAACAGCAGGTATGGTGACAAATGTAGTCTATTCTCTTCTTTACTACTATAGAATGTATAAAGAGAATATTAGATTAAAGTCGTGTGAGTGAGGTTACCGGAGGCCTAATTACCCCAATTCCTGAATCCCCAACGATCCTCAAACTCCTAATCCCCAAAAGGCCGGTAACGCACTTGTAACGCCTCTGGTGTTCCAGGTGTTCATGGGCGACGCCGATTGCTTACCATCAGGTGATCTGTCTGCTCGTTTACCGGCTTATGCCATAAACAAGTGATTATAATCTCATATTCTCTTTACACTGTCAATTAATATTAAACCGTAATATAAAATAGTTTTAAGTGTGGGAGAGCTATGCTTCGGCACGAATGGGCCGGCTCGACCAGAATGAATCCCCGCTTCACAGAAAATTGACGTGAAACAACGCTTGCAATGTGTTTCGTCGTGTGAGTGAGGTTACTGGAGGCCCAATTATCACCCTCCCCATCTCTTCAATCCCCGAATCCCCAAAACGCCCGTAACTCATTTATAACGCCTCTGTTGTTTCTGGTGTCCATGGGCGACGCCGATTACTTGCCATCAGTTGATCCATCTGCTTTTTTACCGGCTTATTCCATAAAAATTATTTACTGTATTTACCATTGGCCTACATACATAAGCCTTAACAAATATAAATAAAAGAATAGTACCTACCATATACAGGACATCACCATTTCATTGTCCATTGTGTCACTTTTAAGGGGCACCTGAATCGATTCTAAATTGTACACGAAGCGAATCGATTCGATTTTGTAATCGATTTGTTAATCGCGCGTCCGTTTTGTGTTCTGACAGTATGCGAAATGTGTTACGTAAAATTCTTCCAAAGGTTTTATTGTTTTTCTTATCTAAAATGTAACATAAGTTGTGAAAAGTTGTCGCGGAGAACCTAACGGGTTACCGGGGCTCCGGCTCGACGTGCAGGAGAAGGAACGGGGTGGTTTTTAGTCAGTAAGAGTCTGACACTCCCTCCCGCCTCACCCAGGCGAGAGCAATCATTTGAAGATTTCCCCCCTTAAAAAACGTTGTGAAAAGTTGCTATGCCCGACAGGGTCCACAAGGATCTGTATTATTGTGCATGAAACAAAGTATTTGTATTTGTAAAAGTGGGTATTATATTGCATTGTGCACTTCTGCCTATTCTGTGGGGGTTTCAAAGGCTTGATTTTATGGCTAGAATTTAGCAGACTGTGGTAATCATGTCGTGTCTTCATTGTTTATTTCTTGATAGTTTCTGGTAAATATTGGCAGGCATTATTAGTTCTAAATTAATTATTATGTTTTCGGCTTCCTCACATAACTGTTTGATGAGGAACTCGACTAGTTTCAAGCCATGATTGAGGCTCATATTTATACAGCGCTAGCTTTTACCCGCGGCTTCGCTCGCGTCACAAAAGGATAAAAAGTAGCCTATGTGACATATACCAATACACACAGCGCCGTCTATACCAATACTTTTGTTTTTCCTCGGGAATATAAAAATTTTTCGGGTTTATAAGTACACTATTATTGAATCCGGACTTCTAACTTTACGTCTGCAAAAATTCAAAGCAATCGGTTTAGTAGTTATGGCGTGAAAGTGGAACAAACAAACAAACTCACTTTCCGATTTATAATATTAGTAAGGATTCCGCGACCCGCGACGCGGCGACTGTCGTTTTCGAATGTTATAATATGTATAAACATTATTAGTTCTAACTTCTATTAGACTTTCTTGTAGTACAAAAAATTTACTCATTAACAAAGAATGTCTGTTTGTTTGTTTTGCACGTTTGTCCTCTGTCTTAGTGTATTTTAACACAATGGCATAGAATATTTTTGTTACTTTAATAAGGATAAGGATCCTGCCCATCACAAATATGTATTCTATAACACACAAAGCTACAAATCATGTTAACCTTTAAGTCCTGACGTGGTTTAGTCATGTCATATAAATGGTGACGTGATGTATGTCAGACAACTTAATAAATAATCGAAATGAATTATTTTTAATTACTGATTTGCACAATATTTACTTGTATTATGATATGTCCATTATTTTTCTATTACGGAAGTGCGAAAATAATAACGTTTTCAAATGAAATCAGCGTTTTTTTTGTTCAAAGTATATAAACTATATTTCGCATAATATTAAAAAATGTTACAATCTTAGTTAAAATACAATTATTTAGACGTTTTTTTTGGTAAATTCATATATTTAAAACTATAAGACACCCACGTCAGTAGTTAAAAGTTAAATAAAAAATAATTTATCGATGGCTGACGACTGAAATCCATTGAGGACAAATATCATATTAGTCCTTAAAAATCAACGTATAATCAAGTAATATCAACTTCTGACTTTTACTAACCACATTTTATCACCTTGTCAACAGCTGGACACATGGTTCGGGCGGCCGAAGAAGGGCGGGAGCCAGATCGACCGGGGCTACGACACCGTCCCCCGGGGCGCGGAGCCGAGGGCCGAGGACGATGAACCGTCCGCCACCGCCGAGTACACCAGCAAGATAGACGCGTTGGATGATGCACAGCTACATAGGCGGTTCGAGGAGATGCTGGTAAGTTTGCTACAGAAAAACCGTCCTTTTTTCATGCCAGTAAGGTTACAATTATCAGAGAGTGCTGCTGCCTAGTCTCTGTCGAATGAGTAGTCCCTTAGTTCTGGTAATTATCTTACGACACCCATAGTCGTGGTGTTACCAATTAATAATTTATTCTGTTCTGCCGGGACTAAAAGGTTCTCGAATGAAGAAGTACAGGCAAGCGCAGCTCATGATGCCCACTCCCAAGATTGACAGGTGACCTGATAAAGGTTGCAACAAGCCCAAATCTCTAGCCGAAATACCAGCAAGCACTTTTTTTTATGGGACAAGCCCGCCACATCCTCCCAAAACCGATGCAACTCCTGTAAGCCAGGATCTACAGTAGTACTACAGTACATTGAAGTTCGGCTCGTCCTAGGGACATGAATAACTGCGCACTTGCAACTCCTGTTTTGTTGCTGGTGGCGGCTCCGATACCTTACCATCAGATGATCCGTCTGCTCGTTTGTCTCTTTATCCCATAAAACAGTTGTTTTGTCTTGATTTACATTTCTATGGATGCAGTGTACAAAAATCTCCATTCGATTCAAGATTTATTGTATCTGTAATTTATAAGTTGCTTCTTTAAATTACAGGCGGACATGAATCTCAATGAAGAAAAGAAGGAACCTTTGAGAAAATACCCTCGAGATCAGAAGAAGAAGATGTTAGTCGCTTATAAGTTCGTCAACACACAGGTTAGTACCTAGATCTTCTACAGTTCACATGTAAACAGCAGCTCGTGTAGTGTAGATGTCCAGTCAACAAGGATGTAGCGAGGTTGACTGTCCAGGCGACACACGTACTTAGGTATCGTCATGAGCTAATGTTCATATGTAAACAGCAGCTCATGTAGTGTAGATGTCCAGCCAACAAGGATGTAGCGAGGTTGACTGTCCAGGCGACACACGTACTTAGGTATCGTCATGAACTAATGTTCACATGTAAACAGCAGCTCATGTAGTGTAGATGTCCAGTCAACAAGGATGTAGCGAGGTTGACTGTCCAGGCGACACACGTACTTAGGTATCGTCATGAACTAATGTTCACATGTAAACAGCAGCTCATGTAGTGTAGATGTCCAGTCAACAAGGATGTAGCGAGGTTGACAGTCCAGGCGACACACGTACTTAGGTATCATCATGAGCTAATGTTCACATGTAAACAGCAGCTCATGTAGTGTAGATGTCCAGTCAACAAGGATGTAGCGAGGTTGACTGTCCAGGCGACACAAGTACTTAGGTATTCTTTCATAAATGTTGCAGGAAGGTCGGTCGAAGTTTGAGAAACCGTCAGATTATGTCACGTACCTTAATCAACCGGAGTTGTCTGTGGGTAAACTACACGGATGTTTGGAGAACCTTAGGATATCATTGACAAATAACCCGCTGTCGTGGATCGAGGAGTTTGGGACGAAAGGCATTGAAAGCTTGCTGACGACCTTGAACCAGTGCTATACGAAGTAAGTTGATGTTTTATTATCAATATTTTTGTAGATTGTAATATGGTTAAAGGGCGAAATTGACAACCGATCACAATATTTAGAATATGGACACACAGACTGTACGATTGAAGCATCTCTGTGTGTGATCCTCAAATTGTTGTTTCGGGTCTGGGTGTGATGTGTATGAGAACTTGTGTGTTTGTAAACGCAGTATATTTCGTGTGCAACAGGAGAAAAAAAATATCCTCCACTCACTAATGTGGCGTTTTTTTTAAACTTTATTGTTAACACTGAAATTGACGGACTTAATGTCGTAGACATTCTCTGACAGTCGACCATTGAGTGGTTTAAATATATTAGATTTTTTGACATTGTTCTAGAAATTTTAGTTGAACATCGCTTCTTAATTTCGGCGATCAGTGCAAATGATGTTATATCTGAGTGTATTTCTTTTATGGGATAAGCCCATAATCGAGTATCACGAGTATCAGTATCATCACCTGTTGGTAAGCAATCGGCGTCGCCCATGGACATCTGGAACACTAGAGCCGGCGTAGCCGGCACACTGTGTTACTGGCGTTTTGGGAATTGAACATTTGTGGATTGTGGGAATTCGGGGATTGGGGAGGAGGGTAATTGAGCCTCCGGTAATCTCACTCACACGACGAAACACAACGCAAGAGTTTTTTGACGTCGGTTTTCTGCTCGGGCATGGTATCACTCCAGTCCAGCCGGCCCATTCGTACCGAAGCATGGCCGTCCCATTCGTACCGAAGCATAGCCGTCCCACACTTATTCCCACACGTATTCTTAGACCGTGTAATTATTCTCAAGAATTTTGTAAATTCTCTATTTTTACCACAATATTTCGTCTTTACACGCTGCTAGTGGGAGTGGATTTTATCGGTAAGCAGATTTATCACGTTATGCCAAATAATAAGACTTTTATATATCCCATATAGCATATAATTTTAAAACAGTAGTCATCACACAATTCTCGACCTTATTCCGCACCTAATAGCTCCAAGCTCTAATAGCTTCGTTTGGATTGCGGCAGGGGCTAAGCAATGTCTTTTAGTTTGATTCCCATAAATTTATTTGTATGATGCACAAAATATCGTTCCGGGTCTATGTGGAATTTGTAGTCGTTCACCTACTCAAGAGAAAACTAAAAAGCCACGCAATTTTCAACCATATTTCCCTCCCAATTACAGTGACTCCCGATACGACCGGGTCCAGTATGAATGCATCAGATGTCTATCAGCGATCCTCAATAATACAGTCGGTATACGGACCATGTTCGAGTGCCGGGAGGCGTTACCAGTACTCGCCAGGAGTTTGGACGCCAGGAAACCACACTGCGCTCTTGAAGCCGCAAAGGTGAGCTTTTTTGGTAGTAAAATGACCACTGACAAACGGTGAAGGAAAACATCGTGAGGAAACCTGGGCTTATAATTTCTAATTATAAGTTTGAAATCGCCAACCCGCATTGAGCAAGCGTGGTGATTAATGCTCAAATCAAACCTTCTCCGTGTGAGAAGAGGCTTTGCTCAGCAGTGGGCATTTATAGGCTGTTGATGAATTAATGTGAGTGACTTAATGATAATGTTAGTTGACGTGAATCGTGAATTAATGTAAGTAAGTTGACGTGAGTGTAGATTCATCTCACGTGTATGAGTTGACTTGAATTAATGTGAATTGACTTGACGTGACGTGACAAGATGTGAGTTGACGTGATCGATGTGAGTTGACGTGAATTAATGTGAGTTTTTTAATATTTTTTATTTAATATTTCCAGGTGCTAGCTGCCATATGTTTGATCCCTAATGGACACGAGAAGGTTCTGGAAGCAATCACGATGGCTGGCGAGTCGAGTCGGAAACCTCGGTTGCTGCCCATCATCGAGGGTCTGGAGACCAAGACTCCTGAGAGCTTGAAGGTATGCAATCATTTATTGTTGCTGTTTTATTTTACATATTGATATTGAAGGACTGAAAACCAGTTGTTAATTGACTGTCTTGGCAAAGGCGATCATGTGTCCGACTATCGAGCAAGGAGTTTTGGGTTCAATTCTCGGGTCGGACAAGATTTTAGTAAATTTTGCTTACGTTTAAAATCACTATTAGGGCTGATGCCGACACGGCGCCGAGGAGAACTTAACGGGTTACCGGGGCTCCGGCTCGAAGTGCAGGAATAGGAACGGGGTGGTTTTTAGTCAGTAAGAGTCTCCCTCCCGCCTCGGTGAGGTGGTGATGGTTTTCAAGTCATTCGATGATTTTCCCCCTTAAAAAATACATAGAGGTGAAAAATATACTTACTCTCGTATTTATAATTATAATATTTTGTATAGATTTTTAATAATACTTACAACTGAATTTTTAAGCTATGTAATATTAAACTCTATAGACATAGAAATTAAGTTAAAATTCCCTTAATCATTTCAGACGGGCTGCATGCAACTTATGAACGCGATAATCACGGAACCTGAAGAGTTGGAGTTTCGATTACATCTCCGCAGTGAATTCATGAGGACTGGACTCTATGACTGGATCGGTAAGGTTCATTTTACTGTGGTATTTATAATAGGAGATAAATGTTAGTGACTGGACTGTATGATTATATTGTTAAGGTTCATTTCTCTTTGTCACTTATTAAAAAGGATAAATATTAATGAATGAACTCTGTGACTGGAGCTGTAAAGTTCATTTTACTTTGTTGCTTGTTGTAAAAGGTAAATGCTAGTGACTGGACTGTATGTTTAGATCATTAAGGTTCATTTTACTTTGTCATTTGTTTTTGAGTGATGAATGTTAGTTAATAGACTCCATGACTGAGATATGGTTCATTTTATTTTATTGTTTTTATTTTTCAAATAAGAGTCAGTGAATGAACTTTGTAACTGGGCGGGTAAGGTTCAATTTACTGTAACAATTTTAGCATTTGTTTTTGAGGGATAAATGTTAGCGAATTGACTTTAGGACTGGATCGGTAAGGTTCATTTTACTCTGTTATCTGTTTCGTGAGTAAATTTTTGGTTAATGAGAAATCTGAAATCGAATTTAGTTATTGTAATGAGGTCCTGTTTGTTTAATAGAGAATTTCCTAGTGTCAAATAACAAATATGACAGATAAGTCCCCACGTCACATTGGCCCCATCAGAGTACCAAGCTCGGCGCTCTGATTGGCCGGCTCAAGTGAACCAACCAATCAGAGCGCCGAACGCGCTCGATACTATTACGTTACGATTGCGATAGTTATTCGTGCTTGGTACTCTGGTGAGGATAAAAACGTTAATAAGCCCAAAAAGGTGGCTTTGACTGGCAACTGCCGAACAAAGGTCCTGGGTTCGGTACCTGGACTTCGTAACACATTTTTGGGACATTTCTGTAACTAGTGAACGGAAAAATTCAGTATGATCCACAAATTAATGTGTGTGTGAACTTGTATGTTTGTAAATACACATACGATACCGGCGAAAATCCTATTGTGGGGCAAAGTTAAATTTTAACTGCACGGTTGGTGCGGTGGCTGGGCAACCGGCTGCCGTGCAACGTGTCGCGGGTTCGATTCCCGCACGGAACAGCACTTTGTGTGATCCACAAATTGTTGTTTCGGGTCTGAGTGTCATGTGTATGTGAACTTGTATGTTTGTAAACGCACCCACGACACAGGAGACAATCCCAGTGTGGGGCAACGTTTAAAAAAAATATATATAAAATCTCTTTTACAGACGAACTTCGGTCTGGAGCGGAGGGCGCGCGTCAGATTCAAATGAATGTATTCGACACGCACGCCGCCGCCGACCAGGACGAGTTCCTTGCCAAGTTCGACGATGTCCGGTAATTTATCATACGTCTCTTTTTTTTTAAGGGGGGAAAATCATCGAATGACTGCGTACGCCTGGGTGAGGCGGGAGGAAGTGTCAGACTCTTACTGACAAAAAACCACCCCGTTCCTACTCCTGCACGTCGAGCCGGAGCCCCGGTTACCCGTTAGGTTCTCCGCGACATTTGTCATACGTCTTACTTTAATAATTATAACATAACATAACATCACGCCTTTTATCCCCGAAGGGGTAGGCAGAGGTGCACATTATGCCACTGTACAATGTAACACCCACTTTTCACTATTTATGTTATGAGTCCCATGTAATAGGGGGTGAGCCTATTGCCATATACCGGGCACAATTCCAGACTCCGTGCTACTACTGAGAATTTTTTAATAATTATATTCTGATAATAAATAGGATTGCTTACCATCAGGTAATCCGTCTACTCGTTTGTCTGCTTTGCTATGCTATAAAAATAATTTCAGTGTAAACTTTTTACTACGGGGTCATCCATATATTACGTCACACGAATTTCATGATTTTTTTGCCCCCTCTCCCCGTCCTTGTCACAGCTAGTCCCATTTGTGAGACTCCCCACCCCCTAGTGTGACGTCACATTTTGCAGAATTACAGTATAGAAACTATTGTTATTTTTATTTCTACTGAAATTGCTGTAAAAAATATTAACGTCATATCAAACAATTCACTAAAAAAAACAATAATACTATTATATTTCGTATTTTAACGCAGATTGTAATAGTTTTTGAAATGTGACATCACAAAGTTTTGGATCCCTCCCTCCCTTCCCTTGTCACAATGTCACAATTCGTCGACCCCCTCCCTCCCCCTTAAGTTGATTAATTAATGTTTATTAAATAAGTTAATTTATAGATGGACGTTACTGGATTCAATCTTAGGATAGACAAGACCAATCGTTTTCTTAGTTTATGGGATGAGCTGGTAAACGATTCGACGGATCACCTGATGATAAGCAGATTATATTAGACAATTGTTGGGGATTCAGAAATGGGGGGGGGGTAAGCAGCCGCCCCCCCCCCCCCCGACTAACCCGCTGTGGTAGTTACACCGTGATTACGGCGGCCGAGGGATCGCTCCGGGCGAGACGATAGCACGGCCGAAGCATGGCTTCCCGTTCGGGCAAAGTATTAATAGGTTTTTAAAAAAAATGTCAGTAATAGCACAGAGTCTGGAATTACGACCGGTATATGGATTGCCATAGATTGAAATAGGCTCACCCCCTATTTCATGGGACTCATAACATAAATAGTGAAAAGTTAGTGTTACATTGTGCAGTGGCATTAAGTGCCGTAATGTGCACCTCTACCTACAATTACTACATTAAAGACGTAATATTATGTCATCAATAATCATAATGACTGCACGGTTGGTGCGGTGGCTGGGCAACCGGCTGCCGTGCAACGTGTCGCGGGTTCGATTCCCGAACGGAACAACACTTTGTGTGATCCATAAAATATTGTTCCGTGTCTGTGTGTGATGTGTATGTGAACTTGTATGTTTGTAAATGCACCCACGACACAGGAGAAAATCATAGTGTGGGGCAATGTTTTTAAAAAAATAAATAAATAAAAAACAACATAATTTATCCATTTTCAGAGTGGATTTCAACGACGTGAACGAGTGTTTCGAGTTAGTGAAGAACTTGGTGATGGACACTCCCGCCGAGCCGTACTTACTCTCAATATTACAACATCTGCTATATATCAGGGATGATGAGCTTATCAGGTAAGATAAACATACAAACATACATATTTTATCAGCACGTGAGAGTCCATTGTTAGTTCTACAGATCTCTAATTGGGATGATGACAGGGTATGAAGCAGAGTAATAACTTCTTAATTACAAATAAGCAATAAGTTTTTCACGATGGTCCATGGCAGAGACACGTCTATCCACAATAAAGAATCACGTCGAACTGGGTACCCCTTTTTTTAAGGGGGGAAAATCATCGAATGACTGCTCCCGCCTGGGCGAGGCGGGAGGGAGTGTCAGACTCTTACTGACTAAAAACTACCCCGTTTCTTCTCCTGCACGTCGAGCCGGAGCCCCGGTTACCCGTTAGGTTCTCCGCGACAACTGGTTACCCTACCGAACGACAATAAAACGCTCTTTTTCACGACGCCGCAACGCCGCAACGCACCGCAACGCAAACTGCCGATTTTAGCGTTGCGGCGCCGCAATGCGGTTATGTGTTTCGGCCCTAAGTGCGAGTCCACACGGCGCGTTGCGTTACGTTGCGTCGACGCAGCGCTGCCGTTGCGTGACGTCACACATGACGGACAGTAGCCCCCAAGACGAAACGGGAGGGGTGTACTCATTGTCATTGCGGCGACGGAGAGGCAGTGCTCAGTTGCTTATGCGTTGATAGGGAGGATACACGCAAGCTCATTTCATTTTTTACCTACGTACTTTTGTATTCAGTTTTATTTGCAGGGTAAAATGAGTACCATTGAAGAAATTGATATAGATTACTGACTGCAGACTACGGACTGCACGGTTGGTGCGGTGGATGGGCAACCGGCTGCCGTGCAACGTGTCGCGGGTTCGATTCCCGCACGGGACAACACTTTGTGTGATTCACAAATTGTTGTTTCGGGTCTGGGTGTCTTTGTGTATGTGAACTTGTATGTTTGTAAACGCACCCACGACACAGGAAAAAATCCTAGTGTGGGACAACGTTAAAAAAAAAAAATAATAAAAAAAAAATAATAATAAAAAAAAAATAATAAAATAATAATTACTTCATTACATTGATTCAGGAAAGGGATTGATTCTGTCTGCGATGTTTTTATATAAATACTTGCCGCAACTGTGCTTCACCGCTGCGTCGACCGAACGTTAAGACTGCGTCGTAGTAACGCTGCGACGACGCAGCGCCTATGTGGACGGTTATGCCTCAAAATATTTGCGTTGCGACGACGTAACGCGCCATGTGGACTGGCTCTAAGTGTGTGTGTGTGTAAAAAAGTATTAAAGTTGATTTATTAATGACAATCTGTTTGTATTCCAGGCCAGCATACTACAAGTTGGTAGAAGAATGTATAACCCAGATAGTTCTCCACAAGAACGGCTACGACCCGGACTTTAGGGCGACGCAGCGATTCAATATAGACGTTCAACCACTCATTGATGGACTTATTGGTATGTACACCTTATTACATACATATATACATACATAACTTCACGCCTGTCTCCCATGGGGGTAGGCAGAGACTAACTCTTTCGCCTCATCAACAGTCATCAATGTTTTCATGCATGCTCGTCGGTTAAGGGTGCTTTTTATTTGGCCCTTCTTTAATATATCGCCAATTTTGTCACTATATATCCGTCTAGGCCGCCCTCTACCGACGGCCCCATTCATAAAACCTTATTAAAACGATTATATAACTACTATGATAAATATAATTAAATATTACAAATTTTCGAGCGCGCTCGATTAGTTTCGAGGCGCACCGGGGCTTGAGTTGAAATCGCATCGGGATGGATTCGCTGTCGATTTTTATACCTCTACTTTGCTTAGATTAGTATTAACTAGTAGTATTATGTGGCAAATGATTAAACACATTTATTATTATACATTTAAATTAACGAACAGGGCGCACGTCGATTCCACACACCAAAGTGTTACAGACAGTGTCTTGTGACAGTTGTTACTCTTATAGTATATAGTACAATACCGTGTTGGGGCCATTAACTACTACTAAATTATGTGTTTGAGAGCCATGCTTCGGCACTGCTGGGTCGTCTCGACCGGAGTGATACCACGGCTGAGTAGAAAACCATAGTGACCACAGCGTTGTGTTTAGTTGTGTGAGTGGGGTTACCAAATGCCCAATTACCACCCCCCCCCCCCTTTGCCCAATCCCTGAATCCCCAACAATCCTTAAATTTTTCATTTCCAAAAGGCTGGTAACGCACTTGTGATGTTCCGAGTGTCCATGGACGGCGACGTTTACTTACCATTAGGTGATCCGTCCGCTTGTTTGTCGGCGTATCCCATAAAAAACATTTTTTTATGAGATACTCCGGTTAACGGGCAGACGGATCACCTGATGGTAAGCAATCGGCGTCGCCCATAGACACCCGAAACACCAGAGGCGTTACAAGTGCGTTACCGGCCTTTTGGGGATTAGGAATATGAGGATTGTGGAGGATTCGGGGATTGGGGAGACTGGGGAAGGGTTACCGCCTTCCCTTGGGCCTCCGGTAACCTCACTCAGTTTTCTGTGAGGCCGTGATATCACTCCGGTCGAGCCGGACATACCAACACTGTCGGGGACATAGAACTAATTTTCTTTTTGTGCTTTCTTCAGAAAAATCCCGAGCCGAAGAAGAGAGGCGAGTAGAAGAATTAAAATCTAAATTAGAAGCTGCCATAGCGGCTCGACAAGAAGCTGAGGCACGCGCCGCCCATCTAGAGGAGAGACTCAAGGCCGCACCCAACACAGGACCCGCGGGGGTCACGCATAATAACATCGCTGCCATCGCCAAAGTAAGAAAATATATTTTTGCTATAATCCCCACACTTGGCGATTCGGTTGGGAATTACATTTACGTCACCCAGATAGTTTAAAAGAGAGGTTTGCAGTAATACATTAAGAGAGAAGAGGTTTTTCTTAAACCCCATACTTGGAAATTACTTTGGTGATGTCATTTTACGTCACCTAGGTGTTTTAAACTGTCAAACACCAAGCGGTCACCGGTGACCGCGACCTATTGTTATTTAATTGTGTCTATAAAACCGGTACTCGACGAGTTAAACTGTCAAACACCGCGAGGACACCGGTGACCGCAACCTATTGTTCTTTAATTGTGTCTATAATGACGGTACTCAAAGAGTTAAGAGATAGAGAGCCCTGCCTGCGAAACCCTTGCCGAGTTGCACTCGCGACCTCTCGGCCAACGAGGCAGTCGTTAAATAAAAGGAAGTGCCTCCGCTGCTGGCGCCGGTTGCCAAAAATATTTCTATTGGAAACCGGCGGTAATAATTTCTAATTATAAGTTTGAAATCGCCAACCCGCATTGAGCAAGCGTGGTGATTAATGCTCTAACCTTCTCCGTGTGAGAAGAGGATTTGCTCAGCAGTGGGCATTTATAGGCTGTTGATGATGAAACCGGCAGCATATTGTAAGTAAGTATATTGTAAGAAGTATATTGCCGGCAGCCGAGATTTAAAACAACGGCTACCGGCGCCGGCACTCAAAATGTCAGCCGGTGACAATGCGCAAAAGGCTGGGTTCCAGTGCCGGTAAACAAATATAAAAAAAACATAACCTCTAATATTCGACTTTGTTCTTTATTTAGTTTCATTAGTTTGTGCTGTTTGTTGTATTTATTCTGTTTGTCTTACGTTTATCGTTACGGTTTGGAAAAATGAAAGTCGGTGACGAATATAGGTTAGGTTTTTTTTTTTTATTAGGTTAGGTTAGGTTAGGGCCGGTTACCGAATAGGCTACCGGCGCCGGCAGCTAGTCCGGTAACCGGCGCCGGCAGCGGAGGCACTCCCTAAATAAAATGATAATATTATTATTTTCAGGTAATATCGAGTCCCGGCGGACCTCCACCGCCGCCGCCGCCGCCGATGCCCGGAGGTGAGTGTTATAGTTCTATGAAACGTGTTATAAAACTCTCATTTGATACAATTATTTAGTTGGTAGTAGACTATACTTGTATTGTAACTTTCGTGAGACATACTAAATAAATTATTATGTTTTCGGCTTACTCATGTAATAATTTGAGGAGGAACTCGACTAGTTTCAAGAGTAGTAGCGCGACAGTCGCCGCGTCGCGTGTCACGAAATGCTGCTCATGAATATGAGCCTCTAGCATGTCTTGAAACTAGTCGAGTTCCTCGTCAAATTATTACGTGAGTAAGCCGAAAATATAATAATTTATTTGGACTATACTTATCTTGGAGTAACATTTTTATCGATATGTCACCTTTTAAACCTTCTTTGGACGTCCATGAACATTCCGATACCAAAGTTAACCGAATCGGTTCAGCAAAGGCCTTAGTACATGTTCCTTTTATGTTTAAAGTCATCGAAACGAGTAGGCGTTCGGTACCCTGAGGGCCAAGCACGAATAACTATCGCATTCGTATCGTAACAGTATCGAGTGAATTAAGCGTTCTGATTGGTAGGTTCCCCTGGTTTGGTAGGTTCCCATAGGCCGGCCAATCAACGTGCCGAACGCGCTCGATACTATTACGTTACGAATGCGATAGTTATTCGTGCTTGGTACTCTAATTGGTTTGTTTCTACCCGTTACGATTACTGTTACATGTATGTTTAGTCTGTATCATCACTAGTAAGTAGTGGCCCCCTCACTATAATGTGTTATATAAGGTAGGACACTCGTCAGTAACGCCGCTGTCTACCTGTCATAGTCTAAGTGTGTGTACACGTCGTGCGCCCTGCACATTATTGTAATAAATCCAAAGCAAAATAAATCCGACTATAATTAATCGATCCACCAACAATTACTTTAAACGTAAAAGAAATTCATACTAAGGCCTTAGTTCTCGGGTTTTGGCGAGACTAACGAACGGAAATTCATTTTTATTTATATATATAGATATATTGGTGTGACTAACGCGTTACTTTATTATTCTGTATGTTAACGTCGCTAAATGATGGTATACAAGCGAAAAATTAAAGATTGGTTCAGTACAGAGAGAATTTGGATACATTTTTGTATGGAGCGTATGTCTAAAGTCTATCTCTTTCTCTAGTAAGGGGTACAGAGGGATGGAAACTAGGGGGGCGTCCATAAATTACGTGAGATGTTTAAGGGGGGAGGGGGGTAGACTCAAATCTCATACAATCTTACTTTGGAGAGAGAGGGGGAGTCTCGGCAAATATGAAATAATTTTTTTTCTGATTAACCTTTTCGCCGCCAACAACTTCTATAGAAGTTCAGGATTTTCGTGCCGTCCACGCCACTACTTCTATAGAAGTTCATTGTATCTACTATAAAAAATACATTTACGATACATAAAACATTTGTTTTCTTTGTAATTTTGTAATATGGACACGACGAACTATTTTTTCTCATGCAAAACAGACTATTTTCTGTTTTAAAAAGGTAAAACATAAAAGGTTTCAAATAATTTTATATCCCGCACGCCAACGACTTCATATCAAGTAGGCCAGTGATGTGACGCGTAAGGAGCATTCATTAGAATCTTTATTTACTATAATATTTGTTTTCTTTTCCATCCAATAGTTTTTTGAATTCTATGAATAAAAAGAAATTCCGGTCAGTAAATAACGTATTACAATGCGTTTCAAAATTAATGTACATCTACCTATCAAATCATTTCATTAAAATTAATTATTATGTACTGAGGGTTTTCGATATTGCTAGACCCATCTCTACGTAATGGCAAGATGTCGAGTGACACTAGCGCCGTCAACTTCAATAGAAGTAAACCTGTGACGTCGTAAGCGCTTAGGCGTCAAGGTCATTGTGTCATAGTTCCGGGCGACGCGTGCACGCACATTTTTCTTTCCCAGTGCAGTGCGACGTGTCACGAGCGACGAGCCCTCGCTGATGAACTAAATTGTAGAGGGGGTATGCGCAGTAGCGATTCTTAGTATAAAATCGCTACTGCGCATCCCCCTCTACTTTCGTCCAGCGCTCATAATTAATCGCACGGCCTATACCTATAATTATTTTCATGATTATGAAATATCCAAATGATTGAGTCATTTTGATTCGATTACAAACTGTTTGGGTCGCGAAAAATTTGTGATCGACTCAGGTCTATATTTGTTCGCCGACACAGCTAAAAGTTTGCGAAACCGAGAGCCGCAACGAATAGGTATTTTATGACTACCTAATATCCATCAAACGTGCCAGTTTTTCATTTGCATTAAATGAAAAATAAGCTATTAAAGTTTAGTACATCTGTATTAAAATAGTTACTTACCATCCATTTCCAAAACTACACATATGTTGCCACTTTTAATCACTACAAACAATGTTCCTGATCGTGACCTGACGTTAGATTTTAAATGTAAACTAAAACCAAAAGCAAACCAAACTCGATAGAAAGAAAGAAAAGCATAGACAACTATTCCTTACGAAATGTATCGTGCTTTGAACGCCAATGACTTGATATGAAGTAAACAGACTACGTTATGAAATGAATAGTGAAGTGGCTAATGTTACGAATTATTATTATTATCTCTAGCAACTCTATGCATGTATCTTCATCTCTGATAACGGATACCCATTTTTCTTAGTATAAATGTTCATAAAATAAAACAAATTACCATTATAACTTAACAGTTTGTATTTTTAATTGTAAATTTGAGTACCAATTTAAATTTACACATATTTTTTTTCATTATCGACATGATGTTACCGCCATCCCTACTTTCGTACTATACATTTATTATACATTTATACGTTGGCGTACGGCGACACATCGTGTTTAGTATAGCTGGGCGGCGAAAAGGTTAAAACAAAAAAAATTATACTATTTTAGTCAATTTAATCTAGATTGTACATGCTTAAGATTTAATTGTACATGCACATGGATTTTTTTTCTTTTTGCAATAGCAAGCCAACGCGTTTACGTGAAAAACCAACATTTTGAAAAATCTCTCTCTCTCTTGAGATTGGGGGATGGGGGAAGGGCGTTGATTAAAATCTTACGAAATCTCACCAGGGGGGGGGGAGGGACAGAAAATTAAAAAAAACACCTCACGTAATTTATGGACGCCACCTAGTCTGTAACTTAATATCATGTTTATCTACCACTTATCTACCTAAAAATAAGTTGTCTAATGTAATTTTGGCACCTAAACATGTACACGGGATCGGATTGAGTACTACAACATTTATATTTTGTAAACAAAATCACTATTAACTTTTATATAACATATTTTCACTGGAATGTCACAATATGATACTGTTTATGAGGTATGTCTGGATATATCATTATCATCAATAACACCTCCTGACAGTCCACTGCTGGACTATCAGCCTCACGATCACGACCACCGTAAGCACGGGCCTGCAGACGGCGAGCATGGGTAGCTCGCCGCCTGACCAGAACCAGACCCGAGCGTACGGCGCGTCGCGTTCCGCGCGCGCCTCAAAGAGCCATCAGACCACCACAGATGGGGTCCAACAGGGCTGATGTCGATACGGAGCCGCAGAGGACTTAAACTTACCGGGTTACCGGGGCTCCGGCTCGAAGTGCAGGAGTAGGAACGGGGTAGTTTTTCCCCTCGGTTTCCCTGGTCTTCCACAATCAGATTTCGATTTCCTTATCATGGGACCATTCTGGGACTATCATCTCCTTTCCAACAAAAAAAAAATTATCAAAATCGGTTCATAAATAACGGAGATATCGGCTACCAAACATAAAAAGCATATATACGGTCGAATTGAGAAGCTCCTCCTTTTATTGAAGTCGGTTTTAAAAATATTTTCTACTCTACAATAATGACTTTCATGTTACAAATCCAGACACAACCCATAACAGTTAAAAAATCATACATTAAATACAATCACAAATGCTCGGTCTCTCTCGCACACACTGCATGTTACTATACCTGTCTCTTTCTGGTGTGGTGTTTTAGGACCCTGTGCACCGCCGCCGCCGCCTATGCCGATGTCAGGTTTGTTCCTATAACTTCTATTTATTTTATTTATGTATAACCGACTTCTAAATAGTTGACTTCTTGATCGTAGACTTGTGTAATCTAAATGGATGACTTCGTACGTGTGACTTCGGTGATGTAAACTTTTATTTAGGTTGTAAACGAATGACTTCTAAATGTGTGACTTCGTTTACGAAGAATTCCAAGTTGTAGATCGTTTACTTTTAGACTTGTGGCTTCGTGATCATGTATACTTGTGTATTGTAAACCGGTGACTTCTATAGCAGATTTCGTTAACGTATACTTGTTTATTGTAAATATATGACTTCTACATATGTGACTTGGTTTTCGTAGACTTATGTATTGTGTACGAATGACTTCTAATCGTGGAACTGCATTCATGTAGGCTTGTATACATATACATAATAAACGATTGACTTCTAAACAACAAACTTCTTGTACTCAGATGATGAACGTATAGACTATCGTATTGTAAGCGGATGACTTCTAAATAGCAGATTTCGTTAACGTAGACTTGTTTATTGTAAATAGAGGACTTCTTACATGTGACTTGGTTTTCGTAGACTTGAGTATTGTAAACGAATGTATTCTGAACTTAGAACCTTGTTCATATAGCCTTGTGTACACATATAGTAAAAGACTGACTTTTAAACAACAGACTCACTCAGACAGATTTTGTTTCCGTAGATTTGTATATTAGTAAATCGATGACTTCTAAACGTGTGACTTCGTTCACGTAGACTTTTATATTGTAAATGAATGACTTCTATTTCATAACATTATTTTTATTGAGAAAATAGCGGTTCACCAAACTAACAAATCTTCAGTTTATAATATTAACTCTTTGAGTACCGTCATCATAGACACAATTAAAGAACAATTAGGTTGCGGTCACCGGTGACCGCGCGGTGTTTGATAGTTTAAGCGTAGATGGAGCAAGGAAAACTGCCATTTTGCTTTTATTTTTTTCTTGCTATATCTTTTTCTACGTGAACGAAGTCTCATCGTAAATAATAATAAGTTATTTTAATATAAACTGCATGTCTATAAAAGCATGTTTATCTTCAAGCATGTTTCTTTAACGGGTATCGGTATGTTTTCTAGTCAACTCTGGCGCTCCTCCACCGCCCCCTATGCCTTCAGGTACGTCCGCACGAATGTAGCACTTATCACATGGGTTTAAGGTTCATTTTGCTCTGGTTTTGGATGTAAAAAGAAATCTTTGCTTAGTGCAGTAGCCAACCTGTTTCCAGACTGTGTGATGTACAGTAGAGGACAGATCCTCTTAATCATTTTCAAATGTTATACTTGAACCTCAAACATTAACTTAGTAGTGATCAGGTGAATCTGACCCTCATTGTACCTACTCATTTGTAACTGTTGTATATGGGAAATTTAACCTTAAAGCGCATATAAATAAGGTCCATTTGTGATCATAGGTTGATGGCTACGAAATAAAGAATATTAGTATGAAGTATGTTATTAATGTTTTATCGGGTACTTCAATGAGAGCTGTGAAACGGGTACCAGTCTCTTCTAAACTTTAAGGAATCCCCCAAGTTAAGATAGGAGACACTTAACGTCATTTTGGTTTACCAGGGCCTTAAGCCAAACGCCACTTTAGCGCTTGTCTACAGAGAGAGTAGAAATCAAAATGTATGGGGATGACATAAACAAGTGACAAAATTTACGTCAATTCCATATAATTTGGTTTTCTATTCTACAAGTAGACAAGCGCTAAATGGCATTTGGCTACAGCTGCTAATTACACAAGTAAGGGGTTATATTAGATGCTCCTTCACGCTAAGTAACTCTTAGTTATGAGCTGGTTTAACTCGTCGAGTACCGGTTTTATAGACACAATTAAAGAACAATAGGTTGCGGTCACCGGTGACCGCTTGGTGTTTGACAGTTTAAGGGGTGGTTGGGTTTTAATTTTTTATTTATTCTCAGATAATAAACCAAGATATGAAAGACGTTATAAGTCTATGTCCTGCATAAAGAAGACCAATAATTGTATGTCTTTTCAGTATTTTTATTTTCAGTAGAGTATCGTGTATTTTCGAGGTAGCCCGATAAGTTTCGAGCTTCACCGTAGTTAACGTTTGTAGTGTGCATACATAATAAGTGAATTGATAAAAAATATGCTGAAGTTTGTAGTGTACATACATAATAACTGAATTGTTAAAAAAATAGAATTTAATTATTTTCGGAATTTTGTTAAAAATGTATAAGAAACATTTTGGTTTATGCTTAGTTTTCTAGGATGAAATAGTAGCCTTCATTGTAGTTATTAATTGAATCGTAGTATCATAGGTTTATGGAATTTTGTGTTTGTAATACATGTTCTAATGTCGGTAATGGTTTTGTGTGTGTATATCTTAATTAAGTCATTATGGTGGGTTTAGACGGTATTTGTATAACTTGTATATTATTGCTCACGAAGGGGTGAACTTATGGGTACTCTTCAATTATAAACGAATGAGAAATTATGAGAGTTTAATCCCTTGGGTTTACAAAAATGTAATAATGAATAATGTCACGCAAAAATGCTAGCGGTGCCGTCCGCTGACTAGTTCGCACTGCTCGCAGGTCCCCCGCGTTCTCCCGCTCGCCGCTCGTCCCTCTCGTGCCCGCCGTACCGCCGTATACGTATGAGGGCTCGGCGTCAACAATATTTAAGTTTACAATAGGGTAGTTTCCTAAATTTTATTTTAATGTCATTCATGTCTGGTACATTAATTTAAAACTTTAGACACGTATTTTTTCTTTTTTCACAAAATTAAATACTTTCGACGATATATTAATTTGAAATATCGTGTGACGTCACAGCGTGTCACATTTTGTAGCACATTATGACGTAACGAACTCCCACTCCTAAACTTAGCGCTATATTTATCTAAGTATTGCAAGTTAATACGAGAAAATAAAAAAATACATGTCTAATATTTTTTCATTATCTAACTGACGGACTAATTAGATTTTTAATTTTGATACCCTGGTAACTACCCTATTCTTTAGGTAGATTTACAGTGAAAGGTGTGGTTTCTAATAGGATCCGACACGAAATGTGGGGGAGACGAAAAGGGGTCTCGTCTTCACCAGGGTTGCAGCAGGCTTGGGGTCAAAGCAAGAGTAGGAACGGGGTGGTGTTTAGTCAGTAAGAGTCTGACACTCCCTCCCGCTTCACCCAAGGCCATTACATCATCCAATGAGTTCTGACCAGAACTGTCCTTTTCATTTATGTGTCTCCTATTAGAAGTCATTGGATGGTGTACAGTTCTGGAATCAGAAATGTCCTTTTCATTTATGTATCTCCTATCCCCAGCAGGAGGAGGTCCACCCCCACCGCCACCGCCCCCGATGCCTGGCGGGCCGCGTGGACCCCCACCGCCCCCGATGCCGGGTATGGGGGGCCCGCCACCCCCTCCGCCCATGATGGGAGGACCCCGACCACCACCACCGCCTGGAGGATTTATGCCTAGAATGGTGAGTACATAAAAACATATTTCACAATTTTTGTCTGTCTGTCTGTTTGTACAGACTAATCTCTGGAATGACTGGACTGATTTTGCAAGACTTTTATTAGCTGGTAGCTGATGTACTAAGGAGCACATTAACATAGGCTAGTTTTATTTTGGAAAATGAACCAAAAAATAGTTACATAACGTAGCATCACGCCTTTTATCCCCGTAGGCAGAGGTGTACATTATGCCACTGTACAATATGACACCCACTTTTCACTATTTACGTTATGAGTCCCATGTAATAGGGGGTGAACCTATTGCCATATACCAGAATCCGTGCTACTACTGTGAATTTTTTGAAAAACCCAGTAATACTTTACCCGACCCGGGAATCGAACCCGAGACCCCTTGCCCGGTCGTCGCACTTGCAACCACTCGGCCAATGAGGCAGTCAAAAAAAGTTATGTTCTAAAATTCATAATCTATGCAGATAAAGTCTGGGGTAACATAAATAAAACCACATAAAAATCTTACTATAATATCTTTTCAGCCGGTACCAGACGTGTTACCGCACGGCCTGAAACCTAAGAAGAAGTGGGAAGTCGAGGGACCACTGAAACGTGCCAACTGGAAGACTATAGTGCCGCAGAAGATGTCCGAGAAGGCATTCTGGGTCAAGGTAAGGAGTTTGATGCAAATTTTTGCGGTTCTAAGTACACAACAGAGTAGAAGATACTACTCCTACTCTTGCTACGGGTGACCTAGAAAAGTAGCGACTCCTTTTTTTGTGAAATAAGCCGGTAAACGAGCTGACGGATCACCTGATGGTAAGCAATCTGCGCCGCCCATGGACACCTGGAACACTAGAGGCGTTACAAGTGTGTTACCGGCGTTTTGGGGATTAGGTATTAGGATTGTTGGGGATTCGGGGATTGGGGAGATTGGGGAAGGGGGGAGGGGGGGTAATTGGGCCTCCAGTAATCTCACTCACACGAAGAAACACATCGCAAGCTTTGTTTCACTATAGTTTTCTGCTCGGCCGAAAGAGACGGAATAGACTTTACCGAGTTTAATCAAGAATTCAAGTTATCCTTACTAATATTATAAATTGGAAAGTGAGTTTGTTTGTTTGTTCCGCTTTCGCGCCGTAACTACTAAATCGAGTACCGTATTTATAGACACAATTAAAGAACAATAGGTTGCGGTCACCGGTGACCGCTTGGTGTTTGACAGTTTAATACTTTTTATCCCGGAAAAATTGATATTCCCGAGGGAAAACCAAAGTATTGGTATAGATGGCGCTGTGTGTATTAGTATATTTATGTCACATGGCTACTTTTTATCCTTTTGTGACGCGAGCGAAGCCGCGGGTAAAAGCTAGTATATTATACAATAATTGTTGTTTGCGTCCGATCGCGAGCGCGCTTGATGGTGTAGTGGCGGGGCGTCAGTGACGCGTGATGCTTGCTCGCGCGCTGTCATGGTCGCTGGCTTTAGTGAGGGGGAATGGTCGACGCTAGTGATGGGAAGCCGAGTGCTTTAACACATGTCGTGTATTCTCTTAGTCAGCTCTTGCTATACCCACGGGAATAGTAGCGTCACAAATGTATTTTACTCTACTGTCAGTACGAGACTAAAATGAAACATTTACTATAATCAATCATCATAACATCACGCCTTTTATCCCTGAAAGGGTAGGCAGAGGTGTGCACATTACGGCACTTAATGCCACTGTACAATGTAATACCCACTTTTCACTACTTATGTTATGAGTCCAATGTAATAGAGGGTGACTATAATAATTATGTATGTTTATTTATATTACAGGTACAAGAAGATAAGCTAGCGTCTCCCGACATATTGACTGGGTTGGCGCTCAAGTTCTCGAGTAAACCTGTCGCTAAGAAGAGCGAAGATGCGGTTGATAAGTGAGTCCTATTTATTTAACTCATACCATAACATCACGCCTATTATCTCCGAAGAAGTAGGCAGAGGTGCACACAGAAGTAACACCCACTTTTTACTATTTATGTTATGAGTCCAATGTAATAGGGGGGTGAGCCTATTGCTATATACCGGGCACAATTCTAGACTCCGTGCTACTACTGAGATTATTTTTAATAACCCAGTAATACTTTGCCCGACCCGAAGGAATCTGTGGATCACACAAAGAGATGTTCCGAGCGGGAATCGAACCCGCGACACATTGCGCGGCAGCCAGTTGCCCAGCCACCGCACCAACCGTGCCGTCATAATATTACATAAAAGTGCATATATATTTTCTAAAATTCATATTCTCCGCGGACGAAGTCGTGGGCAACAGCTAGTGAGTCTGTATAATTTGAGACCACTTGATATATTTATGAAATATTAAAAAACAATTTCACTATCATAACAACATATTAAAAAAAATCCTAGTAACACTGCATAACCCAAGCATCGAACCTGAAACTCACACTGATCTCATCACCATCTAAATTTCTATTAACCCGTCGAGCGTCCGCGTTCCTTATGATCTAACGGGTGCACACGTGACATTTGGAGCATTTTTTCTCATGATCCACCGGGTGCTCATAAGGACGCTCGAGGTGTCCCTTCGTCCAGCATACTCACCATGGAATCCTGATATTTCATGAATGTCAAAAAACTGTTCTGAAATAGTGCTAAATAGTGCCCAAAGGAAAAAAATAGTGCTCTTGTACTTGCGAAGTTATAGCCATAGTTCGATGAGTATGCTGGACGAAGGTTTCGCCCAGCATACTCACCTCCGTCCGGAGAATCTGTATACGCTTCAAACATAATTCATACTTCAAAAAATAGTTCCCAAATAGTGCCAAACGGTGCCCAAAAAGAAAAAACAGTGCTCGAATAACTTCGGAGTTATAGGCTTCGTTCAGTGAGTATGCTGGGCGTAGGTTCTACGCCCAGCATACTCACCTCAGTGCGCGAATATCGAACGAGCTATAGGTACAATTTACGTCTCAAAAAATTGTGCTTGAAATAGTGCCCAATATCAGTCCAATTTTTGCTTGACTTTTGACCTAGAAAACCATTAAATTTAATTGTAAACTTCTACATACTAACGTAAAATGGGGTACAGTCGTCGACACATGTTTTTGGACAAAAATATTAAACTTTCTAATTGTAGACTTCATGTTATTGGAAATAATTATGATATTTTCTCACATGTCAAAAACTTTCGATTAAATGCATTATTATATATTTTATAAATAATAATAAATGAATGAAACTTTAAGCGTAAATGAAGTCTATTACTTCATTGCATTGTGTGTTTGTCTGAATAAAAACAGTCATTTGCAGCCAATAATGACACAAAATGGACCCTTATCACCTTCAAAATACAGATCAGTCTTGTCTAATAATCGTAAGATGTTAGGGCAGCGCCATCTAGTATTTAAACATAAACATATTCATTTGAGTCGCGGGCGCCGCGCGTCGTAAGCCCCATACCTATTGACCGTACGTGCATCCATTACTGCCACACTATATTGAACTTTATCACATGAGGAATACAGGTCAATTCCGTAAACGTTGTGGTACCGTCCTTGATCCGGAAAATGATTATTTTGAATAATTTTGTCAGTTGTAATGTAAGCATTAATAACAGCAACTTTATTTTTCATGCATGATTTACTTCATTTGATATCTTAATCCTTCAAGCGCCGTGATCTAGACAAAATATATAAAATCATTGTTCCTAGCTACCGGGGTCCCATGCGACGCGCGAAGGCTTAATCATATTATTATAAAGTATTATTAAAATAATGTGTAATTAATAATATTGCGATTCTAAAGTAAATACTCCCTTACATAGACAATTAATAATTTACACAAGACAAAAATTGTTAAAAAGAAAGTTAATAATATTGTATTCGACTGTACTCAATGTAATGTATGTAGAAGTTTACAATCAAATTTAATGGTTTTCTAGGTCAAAAGTCAAGCAAAAATTGGACTGATATTGGGCACTATTTCAAGCACAATTTTTTGAGACGTAAATTGTACCTATAGCTCGTTCGATATTCGCGCACTGAGGTGAGTATGCTGGGCGTAGAACCTACGCCCAGCATACTCACTGAACGAAGCCTATAACTCCGAAGTTATTCGAGCACTGTTTTTTCTTTTTGGGCACCGTTTGGCACTATTTGGGAACTATTTTTTGAAGTATGAATTATGTTTGAAGCGTATACAGATTCTCCGGACGGAGGTGAGTATGCTGGGCGAAACCTTCGTCCAGCATACTCATCGAACTATGGCTATAACTTCGCAAGTACAAGAGCACTATTTTTTTCCTTTGGGCACTATTTAGCACTATTTCAGAACAGTTTTTTGACATTCATGAAATATCAGGATTCCATGGTGAGTATGCTGGACGAAGGGACACCGCTCGAGGGGTTAAAATAAATACATAGTTCTACTTTCAAAAATCATCAATCATCTAAAAATTAACATCCATAAATCCAAAGATATGCTTCCAGGGTCCACACGCTGAAGAAAGTCAAAGATCTGAAGGTGCTAGACAGCAAAGCGGCTCAGAACCTATCGATTTTACTAGGCGGTTCATTAAAACATATGTCCTATGAACATATTCGAACCTGCATACTACGGTGTGATACGACTGTGCTCACCGCTAACGTACTGGATTTGTTAATACAGGTGAGTCGGCAAAGTCGGTAAATTCGGGGGAAGTCGGAAAAGTCGGTGGAATCGGGGTAAATCGGAAAAGTCGGTGAAGTAACTTTAGTATGAAAGTCCACAATGTTGTTATTAGTTTATTATTATAATTCCATTATATTTATTAAAATACCTCCGAAGTTACATGTTTAAACATTATTTAAAAAAATATATATTTATTATATGGAATGAAAATTAAATACTTTTCCCAATGCGGAATCGAACCCGTTAATCACTCTTGTGCATCACCAAACGACGCCAATATTTTGAACAACTTACAAACCTATCCGACTACTTTCGACCTCATACCTGCAGCTGTAGCCAAACGCCACTTAGCGCGTGTCTACATGTAGAATAGAAAACCAAATTATATGGAATTGACGTAAATTTTGACACTTGTCAGTGTCATCCCCATACATTTTGATTTCTACTCTCTCTGTAGACAAGCGCCAAAATGGCGTTTGGCTACAGGCCCAGGGCCCATAAAACAAAAACCAATTCTATTCTCAAATATTTCAGTACCTACCACCAGCGGACCAATTGAAGAAGCTAGCTGAGTTGAAGGTTAACAGTGAGGAGTTGACTGAAGCTGAACAGTTCGCCGCGACGGTGGCTGATATTAAGCGACTGGTACCAAGACTTAGGAGTCTAGCCTTTAGGGAGCATTATGCTGAAATCATATCCGAAGTTAAGCCGGTATGTATTGGTATTTTATACATTACATAACATCACGCCTTTCGTCCCCGAAGGGGTAGGTAGAGGTGCACATTATATCACTGTATAATGTAACACCCACTTTTCACTATTAATGTTATGAGTCCCATGTAATAGGGGGTGAGCCTATTGCCATATACCGGGCACAATTTCAGACTTCGTGCTACTACTGAGAATATTTAAAAACCCAGTAATACTTTGCCCGACCCGGGAATCGAACCCGAGACCCCTTGCCCGGCAGTCGCACTTACGACCACTCGGCCAACGAGGCAGCTATTTTATAGTCTTTACTTGATTAATTGGGATGATGACAGGGTATGAAAATTAATAATCTAATTAGTCCGTCAGTTACGTAATGAAAAATTATTAGACACGTATTTTTTTATTTTGTCGTATAAGAAAACAATGCTTAGATAAAACGAATCAAAGTTTAGGAATGGGGGCTAAAACGTCATATCTACGTATAGAATGTACATAGAAGTGACGTCACGCGACATTTCAAATCAATATATCGTCGAAAGTATTCGTTTCTCTAAGAAAATAAAAAATACGTGTCTAATAATTTAAAATAATGTACCAGACGGACATTAAAATAAAAATTAGGCATCTACCCTATTGAAGGGTATTGAATCATCAGGTCAGTCATCATTGAAGCGCTTCGCATCAAGCTTCCTTATGCGTACTGCTAAGGAGTGGAATTCTTTGCCTGAGTCTGTGTTTCCTGAAGGGTATATATAACCTGGGTGTCTTGAAGCTTCGAGTGAATAGGTTGCTTATGGGACGCCGTGCTCCATCGTAGACCGCATCATCGTTTACCACCAGGCGAGGTAGAGGGCAAACGTCGGCACATCAACTGTGTAAAAAAAACAAGTGTGTCAGAGCCATGCTTCGACCTTGCTGTCGTCTCCCCCGCAGCGATCCCTCGGCCGCAGTGCTCACGGTGGAACTACCACAGCGGGGTGTGCAGTCGGGGGGGGGGGGGGGTGGACCTATTACCAACGTTTCAAACCCTCATTGGCCGAGTGGTCGCAAATGCGACTGCCGGGCAAGGGGTCTCGGGTTCGATTCCCGGGTCGGGCAAAGTTTTTTTATTTTGGAATTGTGCCCGGTATATGGCAATAGGCTCTCTCCTATTACATGGAGCTCATAACATAAATAGTGAAAAGTGGGTGTTACATTGTACAGTGGCATAATGTGCACCTCGGCCTACCCCTTTGGAGAGATGTGATGTTATGTTATGAAATAAATAATACTTATAACAGAAAATTGCTCATTTATAAACGTGAAATATTTATTTTTCTCCAGGACATAGTATCAGGCACAGCCGCCTGTGAAGAGGTGAAATCCTCAGAGAAGTTCGCCAAAATACTTGAGCTCCTGCTTCTATTAGGGAACTATATGAACTCGGGCTCTAATAATGCTGGTGCATACGGATTTGAAATTAGCTTCTTGACTAAGGTAAGTAATTTTTTACTTTTTATTTTGTTTGTCTAATGTCCAAAGAAAGGTGGATTAAAGGTTAGAAAGCGCCTTAGGTAAGTATCTCATACCCGAGCGTACGGCGCACCGCGTTCTGCGCGCGCCTCAAAGAGCCTTACAGCCAGCCAGGGTGCTTACTCTTGAAACCAATCTCAATGTCAATGAAATTTCAATCCAATAATATCTCAATAATTATTCAATGTCAAAACTATACAACCACAATTGTAGCTGTTACAATATTATTCAGAGTCCGGAATATAAAGCCAAACTGAATACCATTTAGTTTATTCAATATCCACGCAATACGTATGCAATGGGCGCTGGTGTAGCAACTCAAGAGTATGAAATTTCGCAATACCAATGTCGATCGATCGGAAATGAATTTAAGAGTAAGCCACCAGATCACCACAGATGGTGCCTAATAGGGCTGATGTCGATACGGAGTCGCGGAAGGCCTAACGGGTTACCGGGGCTCCGGTTCGAAGTGCAGTAGTAGGAACGTGGTGGTTTTTAGTCAGTAAGAGTCTGACACTCCCTCCCGCCTCACCTAGGTGGGAGCAGTCATTCGATGATTTACCCCCTTAAAAAAAAAGTCTTCTCATGGGTGTTAGTCGACTAAGGGACTACGCGCAAAAAGACCAGTGATAAACAGGAACCTGACAAGAAAGAGTCTGACACTCCCTCCCGCCTAACCCAAGGCGAGAGACGTCATTGGATGACCTTACCCCCTCAAAAAAAGGCGAGCACCTCATAGGCGCCCCTATAGGTTGTTCGCGTTAAGAATGCAGTGAATCATCCATCAGGGCGACTGTAAGATAAAGGTGTATTCACAGTGGTGTGAAACTCAAACAAATTATATTTTAAAAGATCAAGTTTAATGCATTTATAAGAGTTTAAAATCAGTGTAGGCGGTGGGGTTAGGCCGATAGACAATGATGACGTTTTTTTCTATTTTTTTTTTGAAGAACGCCCCAATCTAGGATTTTTCCCGTGTCGTGTGTACGTTTACAAACATACAAGTTCACATACACATGACACACAGACACGGAATAACAATCTGTGGATCACACAAAGAGTTGTTCCGTGCGGGAATCGAACCCTCAACACGTTTGCGCGGCAGCCAGATCTCCTACCACCAACCGTGCAGATTAAGTTTAATTAATTTATAAAAACACTTAGAAGTTTAGGGGACGGGGCTAAGCCGACAGACAATGTTAACTTACTATATTCTTAACGCGAATGTACTATAAATGTTATTAGTCGCCGTAACTCTATCGCATATTCTGGGAGTGTGATCTCTGGCAATATGAACGCAACACTATGTTGAATAATTTCATTGTTTCGTCAGGTGTAGCTTATTATACGGACCTTGTGGAATCTAGAACAAATTTCCGTGCGTTTAGGCGCTTTTGCCATACCTATTATTGGAAGCAAGTATAACTCACACATAGGACCCACTTAGTTTTTTAGTCAAATTTCCGTGGTGCTTGGCGACTGGGCTTCACCCAGTTATACAGTCTCTTCTTTGTGCCTTTAGGGTTAATTCATTCTGTCTCCTGCATTAATTCACCGAGGGAAGTGGAAACTATAGTTTTTTCTTTTTCTCCTCTTATAATATCTTCTGATTCACTTCGTTGCGGGAACCAAGACAGTTACTCATGTCCCTGGGACGCGCCGGACTTCAATGTTCCGATGTTTTCATGGTTGTATCTACTGTAGATCCTGGCTTACAGGAGTTGCAGCGGTTTTGGGAGGTTGTGGCGGGCTTGTCCAATTTACAAAAAAAATGTGCTGTTGTACACGCGCGTCTCACGGTGCCCTTCTGTAACCTGACGCCCGGCCGCGTCTAGTTTGCCTTAGGTATAATACGGCTCTGTGTCTAAAAGTATGTATGTATCTGAGACATTGTAGAACATACTTTTTTAAATAGAGTAACGAATGGAGTTTCTTGCTCGTTCTTCTCCATTCGAATCTACATTTTGGAATGAGCACCTAGCTTCACTGACGGACTGACTAACAAACTTATTTATTTTGTATTTGTTGACATTTCAAAAGTACCAAATTATGGTTTAATTGAAATAAATGCATTGACTTTTACTTTGACTTTGAGTACTTTATTTGGTCTAATTGGAATAATCAATTGTACGTTGACTAGTCCTTTTTATTTATTTCAACAAAGATGTTCTTAATAATTTCTTTAATTTAATTCAAAGGCAGTTACTTCATGAGCTAGTAAATGTTATTAAATATTAACAAAAGAATTCTTTGTTTCACAGTTAACAGCAACAAAAGATTTAGAAAACAAACAAACATTACTACATTACTTAGTAGAGACCATAGAGAATAAGTTCCCGGAAGTACTTACGTTCGCAGAGGAAATGCCACACATAGACAGGTAAGATTTATAACATCATGTTATAAAGCATAGCATAATACAGTTTAGCATAACAGCATATCGCAGCATAGCATAATAATGCAGCGTAGCGTAGCATAGCATAATACAGCGCAGGATCATCATCACCAACATATCCTATAAGTGGCCTCTGCTGAGTAAATGCCTCTTCTGGCACAGGAGCGTCTTGAGCATTAATCACCACGCTTACTCAATGCGGATTGGCGATTTCAATTTTATAATTAGAATTTATAAGTCCAGGTTTCCTCACGACTTAAACTTTAGAACGGCTAGACCGATTTGGCTGATTTTTTTTTCTTTGTTATCGTCAGTAGAAGGGTCTTATGACAGAAAAACGTCTTGTAAATCCTACGGGAACGGGAGAAACGGGATTGCGCGTACGAAGTCGCGGGCAGAAGCTAATAATAATAAAAAAACTAATTCATTCATATGGACACTCCTTTTTTATCATCATATTTCCTTCTCCCCTACAGGGCGGCCCGAGTATCAATGGAGAATCTCCAGAAAGCTCTGAAGAAGATGGAGAATGACATCAAAGCGTTGGAGATGGATCTCAACAACTCCAGGGTACCACAGTGTCCAGACGACCTCTTCAACGAGTCCATGAGCGTATCCTTTAATAAAAATAAAATTTGTTAACTTCACTACATAATATAAAACAAAGTCGCTATCCGCCGTCTGTCTGTCCCTATGTATGCTTAGATCTTTAAAACTACGCAACGGATTTTGATGCGATTTTTTTTATAATAGATAGAGTGATTTTTAAGGAAGATTTATATGTATAATACATGCATAATATAGTAGAGAAACACTGATAAATTTAAAGGTTTCTAATTGCAACCGTGCAAAGCCGAGGCGTGTCGCTATTTATATTATAAAAATGAAGAGTTGGTTTATTGGTTTATAGTTCTATACGCGGTAATCTCTGAAAGTACTATTTCTAAATGAATGATTCTTTTTGTGTTGGATAGCGTATTTATCGAGGATGGCTATAGGCTAAAACATCACGCTACGACCAATAGAAGCTGAGCAGAGCGTGTGAAACCACGCGGAAGTAGCTAGTGTATAGATAAGTATGATATGCAACAAAAATATCCTTGACAAGCATACTCCAGTCGTTCGCAACGGAATCTCGCGAACAGTGCGACCTCCTGCACTCGATGTTCAAGAAGATGGAAGCGTTGTACACCGAGCTCGCGGAGTATTACGTGTTCGACTCCCAGAAATACACGCTCGAGGAGTTCTTCTCCGATATCAAGACTTTCAAGGATTCCTTTGTTGTAAGTATAGAATATTTTGTGAATTTTACTTTTACTGCACGGTTGGCGTTGCCATTTCGCCATGAGATCGCGCCGGAGCTCTTCCCGCCACGCACTTATCTGGCGCGGCAGCGAAGTTTCGCCCCGGCGATGCGATACACGCGCGCTAGAACCTTCGCCTCCAGATCCCACGGCGGTAATCCGGCAAGGAGGTTCGCCGCCTCCCGGGAGATTATGCGGTATCCGCGGATCATTCGGATCGCTATGATTCTCTGTGACGTAGCCCGAGCCCGAGCGCGCCGCATCAAGTTCAGCGTCCATACAGGGGTAGGAGGCCGTAGGAGGCCATGTACCGCACCTTTTAATACCGATGTCTTCTGTATTATTGAAACCAAATTTTTCCATTCCAGGCGGCACACACGGAAGTAGCGGCAGCGCGCGAGGCGGCCGCCAGGGCCGCGCGGGCACGCAGCGCGCGCGCCGCCGCCGAGCGGGAGCGGAGGGACCGCACGCACAGATACCAACAACTGCTCGACATACACCACGCGCAGGACGGCGTCATGGACAGGTACACGCACAGATACCAACAACTGCTCGACATACACCACGCGCAGGACGGCGTCATGGACAGGTACACGCACAGATACCAACAACTGTCGACATACACCACGCGCAGGACGGCGTCATGGACAGGTACACGCACAGATACCAACAACTGTCGACATACACCACGCGCAGGACGGCGTCATGGACAGGTACACGCACAGATACCAACAACTGTCGACATACACCACGCGCAGGACGGCGTCATGGACAGGTACACGCACAGATACCAACAACTGTCGACATACACCACGCGCAGGACGGCGTCATGGACAGGTACACGCACAGATACCAACAACTGTCGACATACACCACGCGCAGGACGGCGTCATGGACAGGTACACGCACAGATACCAACAACTGTCGACATACACCACGCGCAGGACGGCGTCATGGACAGGTACACGCACAGATACCAACAACTGTCGACATACACCACGCGCAGGACGGCGTCATGGACAGGTACACGCACAGATACCAACAACTGTCGACATACACCACGCGCAGGACGGCGTCATGGACAGGTACACGCACAGATACCAACAACTGTCGACATACACCACGCGCAGGACGGCGTCATGGACAGGTACACGCACAGATACCAACAACTGTCGACATACACCACGCGCAGGACGGCGTCATGGACAGGTACACGCACAGATACCAACAACTGTCGACATACACCACGCGCAGGACGGCGTCATGGACAGGTACACGCACAGATACCAACAACTGTCGACATACACCACGCGCAGGACGGCGTCATGGACAGGTACACGCACAGATACCAACAACTGTCGACATACACCACGCGCAGGACGGCGTCATGGACAGGTACACGCACAGATACCAACAACTGTCGACATACACCACGCGCAGGACGGCGTCATGGACAGGTACACGCACAGATACCAACAACTGTCGACATACACCACGCGCAGGACGGCGTCATGGACAGGTACACGCACAGATACCAACAACTGTCGACATACACCACGCGCAGGACGGCGTCATGGACAGGTACACGCACAGATACCAACAACTGTCGACATACACCACGCGCAGGACGGCGTCATGGACAGGTACACGCACAGATACCAACAACTGTCGACATACACCACGCGCAGGACGGCGTCATGGACAGGTACACGCACAGATACCAACAACTGTCGACATACACCACGCGCAGGACGGCGTCATGGACAGGTACACGCACAGATACCAACAACTGTCGACATACACCACGCGCAGGACGGCGTCATGGACAGGTACACGCACAGATACCAACAACTGTCGACATACACCACGCGCAGGACGGCGTCATGGACAGGTACACGCACAGATACCAACAACTGTCGACATACACCACGCGCAGGACGGCGTCATGGACAGGTACACGCACAGATACCAACAACTGTCGACATACACCACGCGCAGGACGGCGTCATGGACAGGTACACGCACAGATACCAACAACTGTCGACATACACCACGCGCAGGACGGCGTCATGGACAGGTACACGCACAGATACCAACAACTGTCGACATACACCACGCGCAGGACGGCGTCATGGACAGGTACACGCACAGATACCAACAACTGTCGACATACACCACGCGCAGGACGGCGTCATGGACAGGTACACGCACAGATACCAACAACTGTCGACATACACCACGCGCAGGACGGCGTCATGGACAGGTACACGCACAGATACCAACAACTGCTCGACATACACCACGCGCAGGACGGCGTCATGGACAGGTACACGCACAGATACCAACAACTGCTCGACATACACCACGCGCAGGACGGCGTCATGGACAGGTACACGCACAGATACCAACAACTGTCGACATACACCACGCGCAGGACGGCGTCATGGATAGGTACACGCACAGATACCAACAACTGCTCGACATACACCACGCGCAGGACGGCGTCATGGACAGGTACACGCACAGATACCAACAACTGTCGACATACACCACGCGCAGGACGGCGTCATGGACAGGTACACGCACAGATACCAACAACTGCTCGACATACACCACGCGCAGGACGGCGTCATGGACAGGTACACGCACAGATACCAACAACTGTCGACATACACACGCGCAGGACGGCGTCATGGACAGGTACACGCACAGATACCAACAACTGTCGACATACACCACGCGCAGGACGGCGTCATGGACAGGTACACGCACAGATACCAACAACTGTCGACATACACCACGCGCAGGACGGCGTCATGGACAGGTACACGCACAGATACCAACAACTGTCGACATACACCACGCGCAGGACGGCGTCATGGACAGGTACACGCACAGATACCAACAACTGTCGACATACACCACGCGCAGGACGGCGTCATGGACAGGTACACGCACAGATACCAACAACTGTCGACATACACCACGCGCAGGACGGCGTCATGGACAGGTACACGCACAGATACCAACAACTGTCGACATACACCACGCGCAGGACGGCGTCATGGACAGGTACACGCACAGATACCAACAACTGCTCGACATACACCACGCGCAGGACGGCGTCATGGACAGGTACACGCACAGATACCAACAACTGTCGACATACACCACGCGCAGGACGGCGTCATGGACAGGTACACGCACAGATACCAACAACTGTCGACATACACCACGCGCAGGACGGCGTCATGGACAGGTACACGCACAGATACCAACAACTGTCGACATACACCACGCGCAGGACGGCGTCATGGACAGGTACACGCACAGATACCAACAACTGTCGACATACACCACGCGCAGGACGGCGTCATGGACAGGTACACGCACAGATACCAACAACTGTCGACATACACCACGCGCAGGACGGCGTCATGGACAGGTACACGCACAGATACCAACAACTGTCGACATACACCACGCGCAGGACGGCGTCATGGACAGGTACACGCACAGATACCAACAACTGTCGACATACACCACGCGCAGGACGGCGTCATGGACAGGTACACGCACAGATACCAACAACTGCTCGACATACACCACGCGCAGGACGGCGTCATGGACAGGTACACGCACAGATACCAACAACTGTCGACATACACCACGCGCAGGACGGCGTCATGGACAGGTACACGCACAGATACCAACAACTGTCGACATACACCACGCGCAGGACGGCGTCATAAGGGCAAAGCTTCATTTGCCCATTGCGTCACATCGGAACAACGCATTGTATACGTCGCAGCTCCGTCTCAGATACAAACGTTATGACTGACCGTCGATGAAGCCTATCACTCTCCTTCCGTTTTCGTCTCTTGCCCATCGATCCGTTGAAACGTCGCGCGCGATAACGCAACGCGCGACGATGCAAGGCGCTAATGGATGCCCCATTAGAGCATAAACAATGTACAGAAAACAAAACAACAATTTGTGTCATATACTTTGCGTATTACAATAGACTTACGTGGTAATAAGACTTCGAGATGAAAAAATTGTGTTAATACATCTGAGTAATAAAAATACCAAATCAATTAAACCTAATTACCCACTCCCTTATCTCTCCTCTCCCCAATCTCACTCAAATCAACCCCCTTCCCATTCTCCTCAATCCCTGAATCCCCAATCCACAAATTCCTAACTGCCGAGAGGCCGGCAACGCATTTGTAACTCCTTGGTCCTTAGGCGACGCCGATTGCTTATCATTAGGTGATCCGTATGCTCGTTTGCCGACTTATCCTATAAAAAGTCTCTGAACAAGATGTTAATAAATGAATACCTAATGTTTCTCTCTGCTTACTCCTTCGAGTAATAAGAGACGTAATATTCTTTTAACCGATTTATCTCTATTTCAGTTTGATGGAAGCTCTACAAAGCGGGTCAGCGTTTAGCAGAGAACGGCCGAGAAAGAAAGCTAACCCACGGGTAGCGGGAGGTAAGAAAAACGTTTTTAACACTTTAGTAAGATATCAAGTCATTTCACTGATGTATTTATCACTCTAGTCACTAGACTTAAACTACTAGGTTCAAAAAAGGTAGGTTAAATAAGTTCTTTATAACTAGGTTTTATAGAATTCTAACTCTTAATGTCGAGCATTAGAAATCATTGTTTATTGTTCAACCGTTTACCTACTCAAATTTAAAAAGTAATTTAATTTAAATTGTTCCAAATAAATGTATAATTACATATTATTAAAATAGGTTTAATAAATAGGTTTGCGCATCTAATTTAAGTTTGCGCAAAATTAGCGCAATTTTCGGTATTGCGCAAACATTTTGATTTAAAATTTCGAAGTAGCGTAATAAGTTGATTACTGAATTGTGCCCGGTATATGGCAATAGGCTCACCCCCTATTACATGGGACTTATAACATAAATAGTGAAAAGTGGATGTTACATTGTACAGTGGCATTAAGTGCCGTAATTTGCACATATTATGCTACTAGCTTTTACCTGCGGCTTCGCTCGCGTCACAAAAGGATAAAAAGCCAATGTGACATATACCAATACACACGCCATCTATACCAATACTTTTGTTTTCCCTCGGGATCATCAAATTTTTCATCAAATTTTTATTTAATCCGGACTTCTAACTATACATCTGCAATATAGCAATCGGTTTAGTAGTTATGGCGTGAAAGTGGAACAAACAAATAAACAAACAAACTCACTTTCCGATTTATAATATTAATAAGGATGTTGTTCAAAAGTCTACATTTTCATTCACATTTACTAGTAATAAAGCCAAATTGCATTAGTCCCCATACATTTGTGTTTGTTAAACCACTGTCTATGTTATGTTGACACACGCGCACAGAGGATGTGTACGAGAACGAAGGCATCGTGCATGCAATACTGCACAGGCTGCAAGGTACGTGTCTGTAGACAGCACTCAGCAACGATATGCACAGAAAGTAGTTAGATTCTTGTGCTTATTTAATTTTTTTCAGTTGACTATAGTCTCTATAGGTATGTTTTTGACGTGACAACGTCTTATAAATTGGTTTGCCGGGTGACACTTCAAGAAACTGCGTTACGCTCCGCTCACGTTATGCGCTCACAATGAGAGCGAGTGAGAGGCACGCGTCCCTTCCACTCGGGCATTGTTAGCCCGCCTAAGAGCGAGAGAGACAGACATAAAAAGTGAAAGGCACGCGTCCCTTCCACTCGAGCACAGTTAGCCCGCCTAAGAGCGAGAGAGACAGAGCGAGTTATTTCCTCCTTCTTCTTACTATTCGAATGAATATTCACATTAAAATTATTTTACCACTCAAAGTCGTTGTCACGTAAAACTTTCGCCCGTATACCGACTTTACAGGCAACCAATTTTTTGTGTAAAGTCATTGTCAAAGGGAAAATAATAATAGTTCCGAAAAACAAATTAATCTCCAGCGATCTGTGGCCGACTATAAAAATGGATCTTCGAATAACAAAACTAAACTTCCGAATAGAATATTGAACCTCCGACAAAATTACTAAGTTACCGACAACATACGTTTTAGGTTAGGTTAGTATTGTAGCAATAAACAGTCATGTAAAGTAGTCGGAAAGTGAGTATTTTAGGCAGTAGATTTAATATTTTCAGTAAGGACAATTCTTCTTTTCTTGTCGGAGCTTTTATTACTTCCCTTGTCAAAGGCATTTGTTTTGATTAATCCTCAATTAGGCACTTTTAAAACGTCAAGCAATGAATTGAGTACTTTCCTTAATCAAAAATCAATTATTTCGACAGTTCAATACAATAAAATATTAAAAAATAATTTGTCTTTCATCAATTGATTTTATGACCTTACCTAACTTAATTTTAGTATTTTTCCAGCAAATGTTTAAGTAATAAGTATGCTGTTTGACGCTAAAAAAACGTGATGTCACAATACACAATATCGTCATTCATTATCCAACTGACGGACTAATTAGATTTTTAATTTTCATTCCCTGGAAACTACCTTATTGTTCCCTATCGTCGCGGAGAACCTAACGGGTAACCGGGGCTCCGGCTCGACGTGCAGGAGAAGGAACGGGGTGGTTTTTAGTCAGTAAGAGTAGGGGGGAGGAGTCATTCGATGATTTTCCCCCCTTAAAAAAAACACATTGGAATGAGCAAATAGTTTCACTTCATTTTTTTTTGTTGACGTTCAAATTTGCCTTTCTAGTCTAAATGAAATAAATGATTTTGACTTTGACTTTGATTTTGGATTAAGATTTGATTGGATTAAGATAAGAAGATAAGCTTGGACAGTCCACTGCCAGAATCTCTTCAGAGAGTTAGCATCTAATAATATAATCCCCATACTTGGCAGGAGGCTTCTTACTCGGTTTGTTTTAATGAAATTTGTTTATTTTGCTTACAGCTGAAAGAAGAGCACAGTTAAGTAGGTCGCGATCGCGGTCAGGTTTAACGGGGGCGATGACCACGAGAGAATTAACTAAGTAAGTATTAACTTTGGACTATAGTACGCTTTATTGGAAACGGCCCATGTGGCAAGGGTTGACGCGTCATGCACACATAAATGTCCTACAGTCGGTGGCGCTGTGTGTTGGGTTGTTCCGTTCCCAATAAAAAGCTCGACCGGATCAATTGCTAACACACACGTCATACTCGTGAACGGGTGCCTTCTGCTGGGACAGGTCGACTCTCCCATCTTGTTGGTGGGCTGATTTCATAAAGCCTTCGAAATAGAAATAAATAAATAGTGCCTAGTTATTATGTAATTTATACTTTTGGTAATAATTATAGATGTAGTTAATTGTAGTGTGTAACTAGGTTCCCTCTTTACTTTATAGAAATTAATAAGATGTATAATAATAACAAAAATTGTATGACAAGGGCACGGACCTAGAGTCCGTGGAGAATGAATCTATAATATTATAAAAAAAAAACTAAGTAAGTATAACTTAAATATATAATTTTGACTGCCTCGTTGGCCGAGTGGTCGCAAGTGCGACTGCCGGGCAAGGTGTAGGGTCGGGCAAAGTATTATTGGGTTTTTAAAAATATCTCAGTGGTAGCACGGAGTCTGCAATTGTGGTCCCAGTATATGGCAATAGGCTCACCCCCTATTACTTGGGACTCATAACATAAATAGTGAAAAGTGGGTGTTACATTGTACAGTGGCATTGAGTGCCGTAATGTGCACCTTTACTTACCCCTTCGGGGATAAAAGGCGTGATGTTATGTGTTAATTTTAAACTAATTGAATATACAGCTCATTCATATGAAGTTTTCGAAAAATACTCGACTAGTTTCGTAGTCAAACTGGGAATCTTATCTGGGAAAACTGGGTGTTACATTGTACAGTGCCATAATGTGCACCTCTACCCATCCGGTGATAAAAGGCGTGATTTTATGTTATGTAAATCAAGGTTTTTACGTAAAACCACGTCATCTCATAATCAAAATTATTATTATTACTTTTCTAACAAACATTTTCTGATCTTTCCAGTGAATTGCTGAGCAACGCGTGATGAGACTCACACCAAGTGATATTAGGAACATAATTATATCGTTACTCTTGTTATAGTATTCATAACGAATTTGTAATCATCACTATGATCAACTCTTACGTACACGGATGTATGAATGATGCGTTAAACAACACAAAGAAACCAAACGTGGTCAAACACACTTCCACTATTAAACAAAAGTCGCCTTCAGTCCGACCAGAGTGGTACAACGACCACGCCGACGTGAAACAACGCTTACTTTGTGTACAGACGTGAGTGAGGTTACCGGAGACCGAATTCCTCTCCTCCTCAATCTCCCCAATCCCTGAATCCCAACGATCCTCAAACTCCTAATCCCCCAAAGGCCGGTAACGCACTTGTATCATTCCAAGTGCCCATGGGCGGACATTGGGAACTGTATGTTCACCTCTTGTCTACCCTGTGATTAAAAGAAGTGATGTTTCATTAAAATTTGCTATGAATACATCGAGAGTTAAAAACTTAAATTTATATTGCATGAATATAACATTAAAACAATTTTTGTAATATTTTTACTTCAAGTCCAACGTATCTTGACCTCTCTGAAGTTAGCCGTTTCACTGTGTGAGCGAGACGCACATAGGAATTAGATTAAGGAGGGACAGAGACAGAAATACATGCAGTGTACTTCAGGTAGGTCGGTTTATATTGGTCGGCGTTTTTGTTACTTAATTTAGTAAAAAAAAAAACAGTTATTATGAATGGAGATCAATTATTTAGTTTTTTTGCTAACGAATCTTCATATAGGTTGTTGGATTCAATCCCTGGAACTTGTATTATAAAGTTTTTGAGATTACTAAATTATAAAGAATTATTGAAGTTTTTATAATAACTATCGTGAGACGTACTAAATTAACTCTTTGAGTATCGTCATTATAGACACAATTAACTCGTCGAGTACCGGTTTTATAGACACAATTAAAGAACAATAGGTCGCGGTCACCGGTGTCCGCTTGGTGTTTGACAGTTTAAAGAACAATAGGTTGCGGTCACCGGTGTCCTCGTGGTGTTTGACATTTTAACTAAAATCGCGGGTTACTCACGTGAATATACTGAGAAAAGCTCTACTAGTTTCGAACCACAGAGGGTCACGGCGACGCCGCGACCGCGCACGCTGCTTACAAGGTAGAACCCCTCTGTGGTTCGAAACAGACATACTGTTTGAGTGTCAGACTCTTACTGACTAAAAACCACCCCGTTCCTTCTCCTGTACGTCGAGCCGGAGCCCCGGTGACCCGTTAGGTTCTACGCGACGATATGGAACAATAGGATAGTTTCCAGGGAATGAAAATTAAAAATCTAATTAGTCCGTCAGTTATATAATGAAAAAGTTTAGACACGTATTTTTTATTTTCTCGTATAAAGTTACAATACTTAGATAAAATGGAGTTAAGTTTAAGAGTGGAAAGTTGATACGTCATAACGTGCTACAAAATGTGACACGCTGTGACGTCACACGACATTTCAATTCAATATATCGTCGAAAGCATTTAATTTTGTGAGAAAAGAAAAAATACGTGTCTAATGTTTTAAAATAATCTACCAGTCGGACATTATAATAAAATTTAGGAAACTACCCTATTGATGTCCTGCGATACGTTCGCCAGCGACGTCGGGTGATGTAGCGCGGCATTACTGGACTTTGGTCGATATGTCTAACATACGTCATTGTGGACATAAGTTGCGCGTTGTCACCGTGTACGTCAGGCGACATCGGCCGGCTTCGCTCGACATGACGTAAGACATATTTTGTGCCCTAGTGTCTCATTGTGTCGCGGAGAACCTAACGGGTAACCGGGGCTCCGGCTCGACGTGCAGGAGTAGGAACGGGGTGGTTTTTAGTCAGTAAGAGTCTGACACTCTCTCCCGCCTCACCCAGGCAAGAGCAGTCATTCGCTGATTTTCACCTCTTAAAAAAAGTATCATTGTCTTTACTATGTCTCATGAGATATATAAAAAAATATCCCTATAAAAGATATAAATAGGTCGTGAACGTTGTATTACAAAAATTTTTGTGCAATGTAAATTTGATGTTACAATTAAGTTATTTAGATTGTAGTAAAAAAATAACAATATGTAACGAATGACGTAAGCAACTTACGTTTTTTTTTTATAAGGTTTTAATGTCAAAATGAATAAACAACACGCGAAGTGGTAAGGGGCGGGTTTTTCGAAAAACTTTTATAGAAATCAATTTTTTTTATAGTACTCAAAAATGTATTTAAAGAATGTAAATGGATTTCGAAAAAAATGCCCGTGATATACTTTGTTGTTTTTTTTATTTGGTGATTTCACTTTTTTTTTGTTTTTTCTAGTATTCGCACAGATATCAGTTAAAATGTTTGAGACTTCGTCGATTCTCGAGTCAGTTACAAGTATTATTACTTATGTTTTTTGTATTATTTTATTCTCAATGATAGCATAGAGTCTGAAATTGTGTTTGATGTATTATAACAATTGGACCAATGTCGAAACTCACATTTTCCCGTTTAAATATAAAATTTAAAGTCACCAAGTAAAAAAAAAACAACGATTTTTTTAAATAAAAATAAAAAATAATAATAGTTATGTCCATTTTTACTTAGTTATGTCTGTATATAATGCTAAATTTTGTAATTTTCTTATTATATAAGTAGATGCTAATTAATTTGGTGTCCAATTGCCTTAATAGAGTAGTTACATGTCTGTACTGGTATAAAAAAACCCCAAGAAAAATATTCGTCCGATTTTTTGTAGGTCATTTTTGTAGGTCGATTTCCTGTACGTCATTTTTGACGTGACAACGTCTTATAAATTGGTTTGCCGGGTGACACTTCAAGAAAATGCGTTACGCTCCGCTCACGTTATGCGCTCACAATGAGAGCGAGTGAGAGGTACGCGTCCCTTCCACTCGGGCATGGTTAGCCCGCCTAAGAGCGAGAGAGACAGACATAAAAAGTGAAAGGCACGCGTCCCTTCCACTCGAGCACAGTTAGCCCGCCTAAGAGCGAGAGAGACAGAGCGAGAGAGACAGAGCGAGAGAGAGAGAGTGAGAGAGATAGGCAAATTATTTTACCACTCAAAGTCGTTGTCACGTAAAACTTTCGCCCGTATACCGACTTTACAGGCAACCAATTTTTATAGGTTCGAATTTTTGTGGCCTGTAAATAGGTCTAGTGTTTTGTACGGTCGATATTGCGTAGGTCAACTTATCAGTTAAAATTTTCGTAGGTCAATTTTATCAGTCCGATTAGCTTGTGATTTTTTTAAAGTATTTGTTGGATTTTAGAGTTCTGTTATTACCATGTGTATTATGTTAAATTCTTAACTCTTTGAGTACCGTCATTATAGACACAATTAAAGAACAATAGGTCCGCGAGGACACCGGTCACCGGTGTCCTCGCGGTGTTTGACAGTTTAATATAAATTAGTCATCCGATATCCCATTAATTGGTTTAGTAAAATGTACTAAAACGCAACCATTATGTGATATTTTAAATCAAATGAATTGTCCTTCTTCCTCTTTCGTCGGCTTCAAAATATTGTCCAACATTTTTACCCGACTGCTTCAAAGGAACAGTTATGCTTTTTAACCTACTTAACCCTTTGAGTACCGTCATTATAGACACAATTAAAGAACAATAGGTTGTGGTCACCGGTGTCATCGCGGTGTTTGACAGTTTAATAGAAAAAAAATAAAGTATAAAGGCCTTCAATTTTTAGTCTGAAATTCAGCCCCAATTTGACTTATCTAGATTTAAAACATTATGCACAAATCAAACCCTATTATAAGGGATTCATAACATAATGGTGAATAGGTGGCATTAAATTCTAACCTGCAGCTGTAGCCAAATGCCATTTAGCGCTTGTCTACATGTAGAATAGAAAACCAAATTACATATATGGAAAGGCCCCAGTGCCTTTAGCCAAACGCCACGCACTTGTCTACAGAGAGAGTAGAAATCAAAATGTATGAGGATGACACTGACAAGTGTCAAAATTTACGTCAATTCCATATAATTTGGTGTTCTATTCTACATGTAGACAAGCGCTAAATGGCATTTGGCTACAGCTGCCGCACAATTATTTAGTATGTAGGTAAGAAAATAAATATTGATTCAGTACAGAGACAGTAGCTATCCTTACTAATATTATAAATCGGAAAGTGAGTTTGTTTGTTTGTTCCACTTTCACGCCGTAACTACTAAACCGATTGCTTTGAATTTTTGCAGACGTAAAGTTAGAAGTCTGGATTAAATGATAGGGTACTTTTTATCCCGGAAAAATGTAATATTCTCGAGGGAAAACGAAATTATTGGCATAGATGGCGCTGTGTGTATTGGTATATGTCACCTTGGCTACTTTTTATCCTTTTGTGACGCGAGCGAAGCCGCGGGTAAAAGCTAGTTGTTATACTAAATTGTATGCTTTGTAACGAAGCCATATCTTTTGTAACTCAGTCGGCTCTAGACAACCAATGGCTACTGTCTCTGTACTGATTCAATATTTGTATTTTACCTAAATGCGAAGCTTGTCTGTATGTTTGTTACTTAATCACGCCAAAGCGACTGAAGGGATCGGGGTGAAATTTGGAACAGCGGTAGATTATGGTGTAGAGCAGGGAAGGCGAACCTTTACACATAGACGTGCCAATTACTTTGAAGAACATGTTTTACGGTTTTATGTGCGCCATCGACTGATTATTATATTATACCTCTATGTTACATTTTGATTACAAGATATTTGATGATAAAATGTCAACTTTATTTCTAAAAATGTTAAATTATACATATTAAAATGTTAAATGTTGCTGTACCCTTACGGGGTCCATAAATGTAACTTAGCTTTAAGCATATTGTAACACCTTATTCACTTTATGGGATGCAAATAAATAAATATGAACATTACTATTTATGAATGTCAATCAGTAGATAGCAATAAAGTATAGGTACAGTTGGCCTGGTAAGCTGTCACCGCAGTCTGAGTACACCAGCAATATTCGA